GCCCGCCTTAGAACTAACCGGCCAGGTAACTGCGGAGGGCAGCCGGCCAGGAGGGTAGCTGCCCACGCCAGGCCCACCTGCACCCATGCCACCTGCACGCACGGGGTGTACTGCCCGGGCCTCCAGCTCCGTCAGTCTCCAGGCTGCCTGGGCTCCTGGGTTGGGGTCAGGCCCCTGAGGAGAGAAGGGTCCTAACTCATGGCCTCATCAGACCCTGGAGGGAGGACGGATGGATGGGGTGGGGGCTGGAGGGACCTGAGCAAGAGAGAGGGAAGGGCAAGGACTTGGGCCTTGGGCCTGGCTGTCATTGAGGGGTAGAGGCCCCGCAGCCAGGGAGCGGGCAGTGGCCATGGCCAGAGCAGGCCAGGGAGGAGGCAGAGGTGGAGGCTGTGGCCTTGGCTGCCGTGGGCAGAGGAGTCTGGGAAGGAGACTCCCCTTGATCCCCCAGAGGCAGGCTGAGGAGGAAACACGGCCCTTTCTCTGGGGGCCGTCCCTGAGTGTGCTGCTCTCACAGGGAGATGGCCCTGTCCTCAGGCCAGACAGACCCATTGTCCTCTCTGGAAGTGTCTGACTCTGGGGAGACATCAGGGAGAGGGCTCTTGGCCCACCTGCTGTTGGGAGCCCACACTGAAGAGATGTGCTCCTATCTTGGGGAACTTTGACTTGAGGGGCAGATGGTTTCATGTCTGGGGCGCTTGGTGTGAGAGGGGACATGGTTCCACCTTTGGGGGACTTTGCTTTCAGCATGGAGCCTGAGGCCTGTGTGTTGGGAGCCCAGTTTGAGGAAGGGAGTCCCATTTGGGGGGAATTCTTAGTTTGGGGGAGATGTGGACCTTATTTTCAGGCCCCTCTGTGAGGGAGGGGGAGGCCCGACCTGTGCTCAGCCAGCTGGTGTCTAAAGAAGGAAGCTGGTCTCTGGTTGTGGGGACCTTCGTGGGGGTGAGGGGACCCCTGCTTGTGGAGGGGCTGGAGCCAGGACCCCATCTTCTTTGCCTGCCCTGGGCCTGTGATCTCCTCCTGGGGGCCTGGCTCTTGCTGGTGACCCACCACAAGTGGCTCTGGGAACCTTCCTGCCTGGCATGTCATGTGTGAGGTGGCAGGGGTGGGAACCCCATCCCTGAGAGCATGAGGAGGTCATTCAGCACAGTGGCTGAGCTCGCCCCAGTGTGGGAGCAATATCTGCCCAAACAGAGCCCTGGGCCTGCCTGGCCTGTCACCTCCTGGCTCCAAGGAGCCCTGGGGCTTCTCTTTTTGGCTCTGCCACCTCCTGATGCTCTGGGAGTCCAGGCCCTGTGGGCTGTGGATGTGGGCTGGGCTCCAGGCAGCCCTTTTTTGTGAAGGGTTCAAGGTATTGGGGGGTTGCAGAGCACTGATCCCCCACCTGAGTCAGCCCCACATGAGCAGCTGCTCTTGGTTCTCTCTCCAGGGAGCCCCCATCCGGGCTCCTGACCTCCTCCCCTGGGATCTCTTCTGGGCAGTAGCTGCCCTGTCTTCTGCCCCCCTCTCTTGCCTCCACACCAGTGGGTCCTCCAGCTTGGACGGCTCCCCCTTCCCTCTTCTATCAGAGCCCTTGGCCAGGACCCTGGGAGGATCTCCCAGCCCTGCCCAGGGTACCTGCACCCTAGACTGGAGGGTGGGCTGGGTCAGAGGGCACACAGCCCTGCCTCCCAACCACCTGTCACATTTGCTGCCAGTCTGCCTGGGACCTGGGCAGGCTGGGGTGTGTCCGTGTCCTGCCTTTGGGCCCAGCCGTCCTTCCTGGGTGTAGGGTCCTGCTGACCCCCACCACCCTGACCACAGGGGCTGAGCCTGCACCGCGCTGCCGTGTGGGGAGCCCTCCCCACAGCAGAGCTGGGTGGGTGGGCCAGGAGGGGAATGGGCTGCCCAGCCTTCCGCCACCCTCTCACAAGCCAGTGGCTCTCTCTCCCCTTATGTCCTGCTCCAGATGGCAGCTCAGCGGCAGCGAGCGCTGGCCATCATGTGCCGGGTCTACGTGGGCTCCATCTACTATGAGCTGGGAGAGGACACCATTCGCCAGGCCTTTGCCCCCTTTGGACCCATCAAGAGCATTGACATGTCCTGGGACTCCGTCACCATGAAGCACAAGGTGAGACTTGGTCTGCCCTGCCCCACCCTGCCCTGGGCTCTCCTGGCCTAACGGCACGTCCCTGTATCCAGGGCTTTGCCTTTGTGGAGTATGAGGTCCCAGAAGCTGCGCAGCTGGCCTTGGAGCAGATGAATTCAGTGATGCTGGGAGGCAGGAACATCAAGGTGAGGGCCAGGGAGGTGGGCCTTGGGGCCAGTGCACTGCGTGCCCTATGTTTGGTCACCCAGAAAATGCAGAGCAGCCCCTCCAGAAGCCTGAAGTGCCAGGCCTGGGCTGACTGGGGACTCTTCATCCCCTGCCTCTCTGCAGGTGGGCAGACCCAGCAACATAGGGCAGGCGCAGCCCATCATAGACCAGCTGGCTGAGGAGGCACGAGCCTTCAACCGCATCTACGTGGCTTCCGTGCACCAGGACCTCTCGGACGATGACATCAAGAGCGTGTTTGAGGCCTTTGGCAAGATCAAATCTTGCACGCTGGCCCGGGACCCCACAACTGGCAAGCACAAGGGCTATGGCTTCATTGGTGAGTTTGGGAAGGTGGGGCAGGGGTGGGGCCAGGGCCCACTCAACACTGTGGCTGGCCCTCACTGCTGCTCCTGCCCTGCAGAATATGAGAAGGCCCAGTCGTCCCAGGATGCCGTATCTTCCATGAACCTCTTTGACCTGGGTGGCCAGTACTTGCGGGTGGGCAAGGCTGTCACACCCCCCATGCCCCTGCTTACACCTGCCACACCTGGAGGCCTCCCACCTGCTGCTGCTGTGGCTGCAGCTGCAGCTACAGCCAAGATTACGGCTCAGGTGAGGACTGTTGTGTGACAGTGTCTGGTATAGTCATATCCCCAATCCTTTGGGGACTGGCTTTTTGGGTGGTATTGAGGGCGGCAGCCAAACCAGGGACTGAGCGTAGTGGTCTTTTGGGTTGCAGGAAGCAGTAGCTGGAGCAGCGGTCCTGGGTACCCTGGCCACACCTGGACTGGTGTCTCCCGCACTGACTCTAGCCCAGCCCCTGGGGGCTTTACCCCAGGCTGTCATGGCTGCCCAGGCCCCGGGAGTCATCACAGGTGAGCCTGGCTGGGTCAAGTTTTCCCTCCTTCCCCTGCTCCTTCCTTTCCTTAGGGCTTGCTGCCTTCTACCCTCAGCTTCCTGGCCTGTGTGCTCCAGGCTTAGCTCTCTGCACCCAGGGCAGGCGAGCCACGGCCGGGTGGTGCTGTGCTTTTTCCTGGGATGGTCAGGGGTGAGGGGAGTGACTGCTGGACTTGGTGGGTTTGCTGCAGGTGTGACCCCAGCCCGGCCTCCCATTCCGGTCACCATCCCCTCTGTGGGAGTGGTGAACCCCATCCTGGCCAGCCCTCCGACGCTGGGTCTCCTGGAGCCCAAGAAGGAGAAGGAGGAGGAAGAGCTGTTTCCCGAGTCGGAGCGGCCAGAGATGCTGAGCGAGCAGGAGCACATGAGCATCTCGGGCAGCAGCGCCCGCCACATGGTGATGCAGAAGCTGCTCCGCAAGCAGGAGGTGGGCGGCCTGGGCCAGCGGGGTGGGTGGGGGCGGGGTGGTCCAGCCAGCCACAGCTCTCAGCTGTTGTGTCCGCCCCCACAAACACAGTCCACAGTGATGGTTCTGCGCAACATGGTGGACCCCAAAGACATCGATGACGACCTGGAGGGAGAAGTGACTGAGGAGTGTGGCAAGTTTGGTGCTGTCAACCGTGTCATCATCTACCAGGAGAAGCAGGGCGAGGAGGAGGATGCAGAGATCATTGTCAAGATTTTTGTGGAGTTTTCCATGGCCTCTGAGACTCACAAGGCCATCCAGGCCCTCAATGGGCGCTGGTTTGCTGGTCGCAAGGTGGTGGCTGAAGTGTATGACCAGGAGCGTTTTGATAACAGTGACCTTTCCGCGTGACCTTGGCCCACTTCCCCGGACTTGCACTTGCTCCTTGTTTCCTCGTTTTATAGTGATTGGTGGTGTCTTGGGCCCAGCCGCCCAGCGTGCGGATAAAGGCGCAGATGCTGCTGGCCCTGACTGTCCCTGTCTGACAGTGGTCCTGTGCTTATTGGTTCCCGCGGCCCAGCAGAGGGTGGTGGGGAGCCTCGGGGCTGGAGAACAGAGGATGGGGAGGGGTCTGTTCCTGGTTCCATTCTGCCCGGGCAGCGGAGGACCAGCCGAAAGGTGCGCGTGGCCGGGGTGCCTGCGGGGTTCCCACTGCCCCCTGCACAGGTAGTGCTGGGAGGAGGCTGGCCCAGAGCTCCTCGAGTCCGGGACACGTTAAGTCGGCCAGGCAAATGGAGCGCCACGTCTGCCCGCCGCCTGCCCTCGCGGAGCCCACGTCCCGGCGGGAGGGGCTGCGGGGCCAACCCCAGGGGGCGGCCGGCAGGAAGCGTCGGGCCGGCGCGCGGACTTCAGCTCCCACCGTGCCTCGCGCCCGGGACGGGAGCTGAGCCTCCCGGCAGGCTGTGCGCGAGCCCGCTATGGGTCCTCGGAGGCGTTGGCGCCGCGAGGCGTTGTGGGCGTTGCAGTCCCGGCAGCGCTGGTTGGCGAGGGCGGGCCTTGGCTTCCCGGCGGGCTGCGCGGCGGCCGGCGGTTGTCGGCGGGGCAGTCCGGCGGGCAGCGG